CAACAGCAGCGGCAGCCGCTCCTCCGGCCGGCTCTGCAGGGCGGGTGCACCGGACACTCCCGACGGAACCAGGTTTGCAGTCGTGCTTAAGACCGGAGGAAAGGCAAGACGGCGCCTCGTTGAGGAAGCGAGTGTGGAAACCCGTCTGTTAGTTTAAAATGCTTTCCTACTTCTAGAGCTGCCTGCCCCATAAGGAGATTATACTAAACACTAACAACTGGAGCCACTTCTGTTAGACCACTAAAACAAGCACCCTATTTTATAAGTCTAATTTTACTTTTTATGTTTTAAGCACCATTAAATTCATAAAACAACCCCCACAAAACTGTTTAATCGAACTGGTACTCAGAAAAAAAATTATCATATTACTCACAAAGCAAGTAACTTCAACTCTACTTGCCAGTTTCAGCGTGGACAGTCAGCACTGTCACCCCAGGGAAGATCTCAAAACCCGGCAAACCCAGCTACCATTTGAGAAGCAATAAATACAGCCTAGGCTTGACCAAGAAGACATCAGGCAGGACGGGGATACCATTTTCTGTACTTCCAACTCATCAAAATCGTTGCATTAACTTGGAATTCGAATGAAACTTTTTAAAATAACCAGGTGTCAAGACAGTAACATCTTAACCAAGAAAACCCACCCTCCTTCTCCACCTGCAGGTGAAGCAGCAGGCTGGGCAGGGCGTGAAGCATGGGTGGAGCATGTTTCCTGCAAGAAAGAGGACAAACTCACACAGGGCCATTCAGTGCTACATTTGAGTGGCCTTCAGCTCCCTCCACACCGTCCTGCCACTGTGTCACAGAAACTCTGCACACAAACGACAGCACAGGACAGGACATCTGAGAGTGTCCTTGCAGGAAGAGTCCCAGCCTTCTCCCCAGCGTCCCTGGCAAGGGTTGCTAAGCAATGCCTGCCCAAGCTGTAATCTGTAATAGCAAACAGTGCCAGAGCGTTCTGGGGATGGGAGCCTCACCTTGGCCTGGCAATGGCCACAACCAGTGCAGGCTGCTGTGCTCCTGTGGCTGGTGTGAGGCACCCACATAGCATTCCTGCCGGTATCAGGGCAGGAACTACCGCTGTGCTGTTAGTTATGCTGTTAGTTCCTCCCCGTCTGGCCTGTAACTGCTTTAGATTTGAAGACAATTTGATATACCACAGATAAACCCAAGGCTTCATCAGGCACTGAATAAATTGTTCAGCTTCACCAAGTAGGCTTGATTAACCACAAGCTTGGAGCTGGATGTGACCTTCCTACGGGCACCACAAGCCCACCTATGCACAGGAGAGCCCACCTGCACGCTGGCGGGGGGTGGCAAAGCAGAGCCTGCAGGAGCCCCCTTGGGCACAGAGGCTGCTGAAGCCTCTCAGAAAGCAGCCACTTACGGGAAAGCAAGACCCTCGGAGGCTCACAGGCCCGAGGATGGGTCACCTGCTGGTCCAGAGCCCGTCAAAGTCAGAAAAGATTTTTAAAAATGAGCAGGCATCTGTTTGGCTGGCAGGAGGTGTTTTTCACCGGGGCAGGGCAGAGTGCTTACCGCTCCCGGCAAGGCTGCACTGAGGGTTAGGTCTTGGGGTTTGTTATCGGGGTAGGATTGCTCTGCCACAGCTTCTCCAGGCTGGCGTGGGTTGGAAGATGCTCTTTCTGGCTTCTGCTCCCGTATGTCTCTGGCACCCTCACCTTTAGAGACAACACGATGCTTTAAAATAAGCAGTGGCACATTAATCCTCTATGTATTTCTGATCATATAATGCATGCAATTCGACCTGCAAGATAAACAGATTGTAACACTTTTATAAATCAGCATTTTACACAACATATCCTGCTTCTGTGAGCTAACCTTGTCTTCAGAGCTGACAATTCCCAGCACCATCGCTTTGAAGCATTGAAATGGTGAGACAGCAATCTACTAAGCCAGAATGTACCTCTGAAAATAAGTATTTTAAACTGTACATTGCATCTGGAGTTGATTTATGAAATAGTCAGGAGTTAAAATCTTGATATATTAGCAAAAACAACTAGACCTTTAAAGCCAAGAAGCCCTTAGGCTATAGTGAAAAAATCATTGATGTAGGAAAAGCATCTGTATTTTGATGACAGTACAATCACACACAGGAAAAAAAAATCATAACACTGTTTTCCCTTTCCCGTAGATAAACAATAAGAGAGAAAAACCTTGCAATTTTGCACCAGCTGCGTGAAATGCTTTCTAGTAAAGCGTTTGCATTTAAACTTTCAGTTATTAACGATCCAGCTTTACATTGCGGCATGAAAACGCCCGCTTCTTCGCAGAGAAAATAAAGAGAATAATGACAAACAAAAGCAAGTCCGCGGCCGGCAGAGTCTGCAGGCTCTGCGGGGGCTGCCGGTGCCCCTCGGAGCGGGGCCCGCGGTGCCGCTCACCTGAGGGCCAGGGCGGGACGGCGGGCCCGGCATCGCCGCTCGGCCACGGGCTCACCCCAGCGCCCTCTGCGCCTACAGCCTTTTTTTTTCTAATAAAAATACTAATGCGCTCGGTTGTATCATTAAAATTATTATTATTTTTTTAATGGGAAATATTTTATTTCCCCGCGGGAGCTGCTGTCCGCAGGTACCGGTAGCGGTAGGGTGGCACCTGCGAGCATCGCCGGCGCTACCTCGCCGTGGTGCCGGGGTCGTGTCCGCGGCCATCCGAGTCCCCGCTCTAGCTGAACAGACATACAGATTTATATATGTTTTATAAGGATAATTAATCACTCAATCTCTCTCGTTAGCCAGGCTCCCCAGCAGGTTGCGAGGGGCCGGGGTGCCTGGCGGGGCGGCGATGACGCCTCAGCGCCGAGTGGCGGGGCGCAGGCAGGGCCGGGCGGGACGGCGGGAGCGGCACTCGGTTACGGTACTTACGGTGTCTACGGTACTTACGGTGCTTGCGGTAGTTGCGGTGGTGGCTGCGGTGGTTGCGGTGCCGCCGGGCCGGGCCGGGCCGGGCCGGGCCCTGCTGAGGGCCGCGCAGCGCGGGCACAGCGGGGCCGGACGCGCGGGAGCGGCGCCCCCTGGCGGCCGCGGGGGGAGGCGCCGGGGCCGGTGCCGCCGAGGCGGGTCCGTCCCGCGGCCCCGTGTCCTTCCCGCGCTCCCGGTGCCCTTCTGGGGCCGCCACGCGTGCCGCGCTGTCCGCGGGCTGTGGCGATCAATCAGCGCCGCCAGGGCAGCTGCCTCACGCCGCGTCGTGGGGGACCGCGCCCGCGAGGTGCCCCGTGCCGCGCCCCCGGGCCCGCCGCTGTCCCCGCTCCCCGCCGGATCCTCGCCCCGCCACGGCCCTGCTCACCCGGCCTCGGCTCGGCTCGGCTCTGCCCGCGCAGGGAGCCTCCCGCTCCCCCACCCGCATCTGGAATCTGCAATCAAGAGCTCAATTTTGTCATTTGGAAACACTAATTATCTAATCACGCCACGCTGCAGAGCGTACTTGTCTGCCCAATTAGCTAGGACAATTATTAAAATTCGGGGCCCTAATTATGTCTCAATTTAATGCTGGCAAACTCGCGCACAGCGCAGTAATTAAAATCCTCCCCTCGCCTCTGCCTTTAGGGCAGCGGCTGATGGGACCTGTCAGGGGCCGCGCCGCGCCGAACCAGCCGAGCGGATTGTGCTACATGACCCCGCATTGTTAAGTGTGTCAACATATTAACCTGAATTCCCTTCAGCCCCCGTAATCACATTTGGAAGGAGGACGAAAAGGGGCTAAAACATGAAGCATTTTATTAAAAAAACATAAATTCTTTTTAATTAATGCTGTAAGAGATCTGACGCAGCTTGAGCTACCAAATGCTGCAAGTCATATAAGACTGGTGCTTCTAATTACCAGTAAAGGAAGGTTTGCTCTTCTCTGTTAAAAAGACTTCCCTCTCCTCTCATTTAAAGCAAATGATCTTTCTTTTGGGTAGTGTATTTTTTAAAACCCAGCTAGTTGGCTTCCAGTGATAAAGTTGATTACCAGTTTTTTGTTTGATGATGGAGCACAAGTGAATATTGACTTCTGTGAGAATCAAACAGACGGCTGGAGGCATAAATAAAACGGTCAGGATTTAACACTTGAAAGAAGTTAATAAAGTTGAAAATTAAAAATCATAATATTGGGATAATTTCCAAATATTTATTTTTGCTCTGCTCTCAAATTTGATAGGAAGTCAGTGCTAAAACACAGAGAGGCGATGGAGTTAACCCTATCATCTGCATTCCTGCCCCTGCAGTGCAGGCACCTGCCAGGACAAGAAGCCCTGAGCCCACATCCCTCAGAAGTGGCCAAAGGCTGCTCCTTCAGCCTTGTGGCAGCAGGGTCCCTTTTAGCATGTCCCCTTCTGGCTGGAAAAACCCAGTGCTGGGGAAGGTGGTACCTTCACCTCCCCTTGGTGAGCTCTCTGGTGTTTGGGACTCGGGAAACAAACCTTGGTTCCCTGTTTGACGAGAGGCAGGGAGGGAGAAAGGGGCCTCTTTTCCCACAGTGCCTGCCCTACATCTCAGAAAAGGCCTGTTCCAGCCTTCTCAGATGGTAAACCAAAGTGCAAATCTGTGTTCTGGCTTGTTCCAGTGGCTGTCAGCGTGTTTTCCTTTTGTCAGCAGCAATTGACTGGTCAGGTTCACCCTTGTACAGCAATTGTAACAGCTCATTGACAGACTAGTGACCCAGCCGGACCTGATAATGGAAAACTATTGATTTCTGTGGGCTCAGCAGTTCTAAAATGAATGCCCAATATAATGTCATCAGCTGTCTTGGACTCAGATATCCCTTGGACTTGGATAAAGAGACAATTGCCCATCCTGACAATTTGCTCACAAAAAACATACTGGACACAAACAATGAAGTGTCTCTCAGTCTTCCCCCTCTACCAATAAGCAACAAGGAATCAATGTCCAGGAAAATGTCCAGAAACCCAGCCCAGGTGTGGTGGTGGCTCCAGCTGTCCCTTTGACCAAGGAGACCCGTGACAGTTTCTCCAGGTGTTAACCCTTGCCACTGAAGAGCAGGCATGTGGGCGAGTGACACCTCATGCACAGCCATCCACCAGCCCCAGAGAGAGCTAACAACAGGCACAAGGCTGCCAGGAGATGTGACCCAGCAGGGACCACAGTCAGCTCCCACCTGCAGGAAAGCAAAAGGGCCTGAACAAGTCCATGATGCTAAAGTAAATCATACCTCATCCTGTGTCACAGCAAATGCTCTGGGCTGAGGAGGATGTCAGGCAATAACGATAAATTATGGCTAATAAAAATCCAGTAAGGCAAGGTGAAATTTTAAATTTGTACAACATAGATTTGAGATGATTTGGGATAAAAAAGTACTGCAAGTGCAATTGAAATTTTGGGAGGGAGGAAATCAAAGTTTAAAGATTTGCAGAATTGGATGAACTGTTTGCCATAAGATACACCATGTATAATTTCAAAGGGGAAGAGTCATGAGTATGGCAGCCTTCCTGGAAAAGGTTTAACTCAGGAGGGAAAATCAATAGCTCAAAGATTCAAAAACACAAAGCACTTTTGGTCTGAGAGAGCCAGAGTGAGGTCTGTCCTTCCTTAGTAGCTCATTGCACACAGATAAAGCAGCTGTCACTGCTGTGTCCCTGACAGAACTCAAACCTCACTGGCACATCAGGAAGACAGTGGGACATTTACCAGCACAAGGTCTATGGAAATTCAGATCAGACAGATACTGGCTTTCTATAGGATAACAAGAGCTTGCAGGAGAAGTTTTACTGTGCCCCAAATCTCTTCCTCTGGGGCTTGGGGCCTTCCAGAATTTAAATTCTTCCAGATGAACCAAGCTTCCTGTAAGGGGTGGGAGGAGGAAACAAAGATACTTACCCTGGCAGATGTCAGCAGACATTTCATTCGAGCTTGAACACCAGAGGAGATTGGAACAGCTTTGTGATCCTGGCGAAAAAATTCAAGTGACCTTGGGCAAATGTATTTTTAGTTATGAACAACTGGTCAGTTTTATCACAAAAATACCAGCCCTTCTCAAATGCACTTTCACGTTTTGCAGCCTTTGCTCAGTGGCTGCTCCCCATGGGTGCCCCCTCCCCTGGAACTGCTGCTGTCCATGACAGGCACACGTGTGTGCTTTGCTTTGCCTTCTCCTGACAATGGGCCCGGCTCTGTGATGTGCTGCATACACTCGTCAGGGGGAAATGACTGCACGGATTATGCTGACATGACTGCTGCTGAATGCCTTTCAGTTTCTGCACACTTCCATTTTCTGCACCCTTCCACTGTGCAGCCTTGGCTCCCTCTCCTGAAGACAGCTCCTGAACCCACCTCTCTCCACTCGAGCTTCTGCTTCGTGTTCAATTTCCATATGTTGCTTTCGAGCATTTCTCTTCTTGGCATCCCCTCAGGGCCTGATCCTGTGAGAGTAACTGTGCTGCACCTGAGAAGTGTTAAACAAGGCTGTGTGAATTGCCAAGTATACTTTGGGGTTTGCCTTTTCAGTGATCATTTTGAAATAAATTAAATGTAAAGTTTTTCATGTCTTTGTTTTGTTTTTCCAAAGCAACCCCTGAACTTTTCCCATTAGCTAGAATGAGGAGACCAAATCCCTCTTAGTCACCTTGGAGAAGAATTTTTCAGAGCACCAGAACCTCATGGGTGATGCTCAGACCCAGATGTCTTGTCCCTGGAGAGGCTCAGGTCTATTCTGAGCTCCTCTTCCTGCCCATTTCTCAGAACCCCAAATCTCATGTTTGGCCAAGCGTGGCTAACATCTCCACACTACTCCCTCCCTGAGTATCACAAATATGTTCAGGCCTTCAGATGAGAAGCTCCTGAGGCAGGGATTATGCTCTGTAGTATTACTGTTGTCATATTTTCCCTGTTGTAATGTTCCATGTACATTTATGTCACTTATAAAATACAATTAACAGACATAGTGGAACCCACAATGGCCCAAAGAAGGGAATAACAGATGTAGAGTAAGCATGTACATTTTCTTCCTACAATTATGCTGGCTGTGGTGACTCCCAACCAGCAGATGAGTAGTAAAAATGAAACACAATTCTAAATATTTAAAAAGTATAGCAAAGTTGTCCATACTTCTTTTTCACTTAGCAGGGGCTCCATAATGATGTTCAGCTTTTCTCTGCCTGAAGACACAGACCTCACTCTGTCCTCAGAGCACACCTCACCTCCTTCCAGTGATTTAGAGTAACTCAGAACTCCTATGACCTACTGTCTTATCCAGCCACCAAACAAGCATCCAAAATGAGCCACAGGAAGGATTGCACCAGGCATTATCTTTCCCCAAAAAAGGCCACTCCAATGTGGACCCTACTGTACTCCTGAATCACTATGGGACCAGCTGTCACTTGTTTTCAACGAAAGGCATCAAGGGAAGATGGAGTGTCTCCTATTTACTAAAGTTTCTAAATCAATGTAAGTATATATTTACAGTGTGAATTATATTTACAGTGTTCAGTATTTCAGTATTGTGCACACAAACCCATCTACTCACAGGTTTATGACTCTTGTGCCACCTCAGTGAGCTCTGCTCTGCTGGAAGTTACTGTCATTGGGGTCACAGTCTGCCAGGGTAGGCTCAGATTTTGCAGGCAAATGTCCTCCAGCAAAGCCCAAATTGTGTTTTTTAACATTTACAAATTGATTTGTGCAAATAATTGATTATGCTTTCAAGCAATGGAATGAAACTTGAGGGAAAAAACCCCCACAATCAGATCAATCTGAAATAATATTTTCTGGTTTTCTTCGCTGAAACGAAAACAAATCCCATACATTTTGCAGTGAGGGAAGTGCTTTGTTTCATCCAAAATGTTTTATTTCAGGCACTTGCAACAGAAAGAAAAAAAATCCTCTAAGATATAAGAGGTTGGATTCACCACAGCTGCTGTCATTCCCTTCTTATCCCCTAACCCAGTAATTAGGGCAGTGACCCAGGATGTGGGAGATCCATGTTCAATCCCTTTTCTGCCTGGAGGGATTGGAACCTCCATCTCTCTGTCTCCAAGGAGAGTTTTAGAGCCCTGGTGCTGGAGGGGCCCGTCCCTGCTGTCTCCTTTGGGGCTGTCCCTGCTGCTCAGGTGTGGGGCACGGCAGGACAGCGTGTCCCTGCCTGGCTGCACCGCTCACAGCCGGCCCTCCCTGCCCTGTGCCTGGGGAGCAGAGCTGCCTGTGCCGCCTGCAGGCCTTCCAGGGCTCACACCACTCCCAGCTACACCGCACCAAAGTGTTTGAGGTGCATCCACAACCAGGGAACAGAGGCGATCCCAGGCCTGGGCATCAGCGCTGTATGCAGGATGTGAGTCCTTCCTTGTTCCAGACCATAATACCAGGGCCTTCCCCCAGGAAATGAGAAACAAGCCAGTATTCAAAAAATTAAAA